AAAATATTATTTTATTGAAGAATGTGTGCTTGAAAATGAGTAGAAGACTGAGAATGAAAAAAATAATGTGTACCAAACAAGGGCTTAAGCTATTATTTAGTTCCAATTTATCTATCTCCTAGGAAATAAGATGCACTATTGAAATGGGGACCAAAAAAAGGGAATAATATAGGATTCTAGAGGCTGAAACAAAATTCACAGTATATTCCACAAAATTAACCCAAGTCTTCATCCTTGTTTCCTTTCTCCTTTTCAGGTTAGTAACCATCACCACAATATTACGTTCACAGACCTTAAATTTCACCTTAGAATATGAAGATTCTAATTTGTCTTGCAATTCCAAATTGGAAGGCACAGCAGGATCATAAAGCCTACAATTCTGCTTTGCCATGGGGATGAATTTTTTCGGTTCCGTCCTGTCCTCATTTGTATATACCTGTATAACAACGTAGAATCAACAATCATGAAATAGATTGGCCTTTCACACAACAAGACCAAAAGAAATTATACTCTTGCAACAGAGAGGAGTTAAATGAACCAACTCTTCTAACTATTACTATACTTGAGATATTATTTAGTTCCAATTTATCTATCTCCTACAAAATAAGATGCACTAAATGAAATAAAGATTTCACGATTGGAAACTACTATAGGACCAACAAAAAAGGAACTAAGCTAGAGGCTGAAACAAAATTCCTCTTAAATTCTACAAAATTAACCAATTTTTTTTCCTTGTTTCCTTTTTCCCCTTTTCTGGTGTATCTGTAATAACTACCACCACAAAATTATCTTCACATGCTGAAACATTCACCTTAGAACAAGGCGATTCTAATTTCTTTTTCAATTTCAAATTGGAAGGCAAATCCTGATCATAAAGTCTGCAATTCTGGTTTGCCAAGGGGACGAATTCTTTCGGTTCCATCCTGTCCCCAATTGTATGTACCTGTATAAACACGTAGAATCAACAATCATGAAATAGATTGGTCCTTCACACAAGAATACCGAAAGGAATTACATTCTGGATGAACAGACCCTTTTAACTTCTACTATACTTAATCAAGATATTATTTAGTTCTAATTTTTCTTTCTCCAATGAAATAAGCTTCACTTAATGAAATAAAGAATTCATAATTTGAAGGGGCTGAACCAAAATTCACATTAAATTTCAGAAAATTAATCAAATCTTCTTCCTTGTTTCCTTTCCCGTTTCTGGTGTATCGGTAATAACTACCACTACAAGATTATCTTGACACAGTAAAAATTTCACCTTAGAACATGAAGATTCTAATTCCTCTTTTAATTCCAAATTGGAAGGCATGGCCGGAACATAAAGTCTGGAATTCTGGTTTGCCATGAGGATGAATTCTTTCGTTTCCACCCTGTCCTCAATTGTATATAACTGTATAAAAACGTAGAATCAATAATCAAGGGTTTGTAACTGTTGTGATCAATAAAAGTTTCGACACTACTGAAAGTTCAGTAGAGAAGAATTAGCAAATATCACCTGGCAATCCAAGAGACTTTCGAGCTCCGATATTTGCTTCTGACAGTCTCCGTTGGAAAAGAAGCCGGATCCAGAAAGGCCTATTAAGTGATGTGCAAAGTAGTTGATATGTAGAAAAGGGGGAAAACAATTAGGTTTAATGGTGATAGATATATTAGACTAATTGAAATTACTGCAGTACTTCGTGGATGGATATAAAAGAATAAAATATGCCTTTTGACTAGGTTCCAGTTTAATATTTATTTCTGTAAAACTCAAGCCCATTTCCCCGTGGTTTTGTCGTGATTTTGTATTACATTCCCTATTTGATTGCAATATTCGAAAGCATTAATGACTTGTACATAAGTCTATATCATTTAAATTTGGATTGCTGGATTCATTTAAATTTAAATTTGGCTTTATTTCTAGACTGCAAAAGAACCAAAAATTTTAGTACAGCAGGGTATTCACCTTGTCTGCCTGTTCATTTATTAAATTAGCTGCAATAAATGATATTGTTCGGCCTGTTTATTACCAATTCATTTATGAATGATATACACGATTTAAAAAAAGGATGAACTAAAAGAGAAAATCTGGTCTCTCATGTTTAAACGTCTAACATGACAGCCACAGAGATAAAAATAAAAAGAAATCTGATTACCATTTCTGATCCCAGGAGAAGCTGTCATCCCAAAAATCTTGGGCCGGTTGGAAGATTTGTGATAAAATTCCTTCATAATTAGAAGATACTGATCAGTAACAAATTTACCTTAGGGACGACAGACAAGAAAGTGAGGGAACCGGGTGAAGAACAGAGTATTCCGGAAGATAAATAGAATATTTTATTTCATCAAGAATAAAGAATATAAATGTTCAATTACATATTTATATGCAAGGAGTAAAGGCTAACGATTACACAAATGATACTATAGCAAGATTGAGTTATGAAATAAGACAGAGTCTAATACAAATTGCACAATATACTTCAAACAAATATCAAAAGAAATCAGCAATAATGGAGAAAAAAGGAAATGCTGATAAATTGGAATATGACTATGAAATGAAAGCTTGAAGTTACCTTCATAATCTTTGCATAAGGATGTTTACGGGAAGCAAAATGGCATTCGTCTAGTATAATAAAACATAATACTTGAAAATTCAAGAATCCCTTCCTTAAAGCATCCAACAAAATTTGAGGTGTCATAACCAACACCTGAAATGAAAAACAAAGTAACAACATGAATCAGTTTTGCAGCAAAATCATTGACATATAATTTCAGAATTTTGTTGCAAGATACATATTGATCAAAAAGGTCAATTGTAAGTCTAGCTATCTTCTTAGTGTACACACTTCAACAACCATTTGAGAAATAATATGGACGCTGATGAGCTTAAAAATAAGACAAACTCAGTTTTGAGCTACATACTTTGATAAACATAGTTGTCAAAGTCACTTTTTTCGCTAACAAAACTTACTCTTCCAGAAAATAGTAAAAACTTACTTTCCAGGAGAAAGTTTGAGCACAGCCAAACATTCTCCGAACTAAGGGAGAAGAGAAATACAGGAAACCAGTCAGGCCAAAAGAATGCACTTGTTCTGATTTTAAGTGGATTCAGAAACTGAAAATTTGATAGCCAGTTTGTATTCAATGACTGTCCTTATGAGGAAGGCCAAAATAAGGAGAATCTTGAATGGGTGTAAGTATGAAATAAACTGAACCAAAATAGAAAAATTATCCCATTATTGCATCGTTAGAAAAGAATCCAAAAAACTATAATGGTCATTGTGATTCAACTAACATCATGCTCATCAACTTCCTTCTCCCAAGTCTTGACATTCCACACATCAACCCCTTTAGCTCCATAGTATTCTTCCACTTCAAGCTCTGTGTGAGATTTTATCTCCTCGTATTGCTGCAATGTACCATCAATAAGAATAAACTTAACTAATTTATAAAACTCAGTTTCTTCCAAAAGATAAGCGAGTCAATTATACTACATGTAACAATGACAGGGAAAAGTGTTTGTTTAACAGATAAATATGACTCATTATATAGTTACAAAAGAAAACAATATGAAAACTGTTTGCTTAACGTTAATGTGCTTTGTGCTCTTCATAAACATGGAATTGGGAATGTCACCAAAAAAGAAAAATGTGGAATTGGGGCCTTGGAACCGAAATTGAGTAGAGAACTTCTACGTTTGAATTCATTTTTTCCTAGTTCAGACACCATGTTGCCAAACACAATCTTTCAATAATTGGAAGTTTCGGGAAAATTAGTTAGACAGGAAGAAAGTCAAAGGACAACCATAAAATATAACAAAATATCAAAACTATTTCAAAATTAGAAGTGACAAGTTTAGCTCAATGACACATTGGAAAATAAACATCAAACTAAGGAAAATCCAGTCAATCATAAATACTACAATACTAATATGAAGTTAGAAACAAACAATAAACAAAATACATGCCCTTTTAACAAATTTCAAGAAAGGGCATACCTGATGAACAAGATGAACAGTGGGTGTTAAGAAAATAATCAACTTTTTTTCACACTTATTATTCTTTAAAGTTTTCCCAATTTCTTTGATCATCATAGTTTGTATCGCGGTTTTCCCAGCCCCATTCTCCAACACTGCTATTGTATTCCTGCTCATTGCCACTTCATACACCTTCCTCTCATACCTGGCATGCATGCACCCAAACAAATCAAAATCATAAAAACACCACCAAAATAAAAATTAGACAAGCCCATAAATTATTTTGCATAAAAAAATTAAAAAAGCGGCACTTACTCGCTAGGTATAGAGGTATCATCACCAGTTTCGGGCTTGGAGTCCATGTCTTCAAAACGTCTTTTTAATGGGTTTAACATGATTTCATCCTGGACCTCCATTCTCTGGTTTTTATATATCTTTTCTGTTAATCACAAGAAATGATGTGGGTAGCTAAGAATTTTTGCAGAAGCTTTTAAAAACTTTTAATTCGATGCCAGGGCTTCATCCGAACATTTGTGCGTGTGTGTGTTGGGGGGTAGTGTGCTAAAAATTGAGGTTTTATATTGAATGCCATTAATTAACACAATCACTCTCTGTTAGGGGCATCCCAAATGCGTTTTACAAAGCTTGAAAACGGAATAAAGTGACGTTTTGGATTCTCTGTAGTCAGTACGAACTGTGGGGTTTTTCCACCACTGTTGTATGTAGAGTCGGGTGTTTTAGGGAAACTGCAGAATTATGATTTCGAACTGAGAACGTAGAAATTGAGAGAAAATTACAGGGGAAATCCAAACTTTATTCATATTCTGTAATTAGATGAGTCCACGGTTGTAGACTTGTAGTTGAACGTTAATGGTTAAATGTCAAAATTTATGTAAAACCAATTACTAGCATATTCATTTTTTAACTATAAAAAAGGGACAACATATAGAAAATGAAAGAAAATAAATAAAAAATAGAAATTACCCTGAATCCATTCATGGGTCGACGGAGAGCAACATGGTTGGGAAAAATACGAAAAAAAGAGTTGTAGAAGAGCTCAAAGGTCTGTACAATGTAGACGCGACTTTTTTTTTAAAAGATACTGCAGGGCAATAAAGATTGAATTTTGGAACTTGAAAGGTCTAGCAACGCACATTTTTAGCGAATTACAGAGGTGTTGAGTAGGTTCGGGGTGTTCGAATTGTAGGGATGACTTGAGTTGGATGGATTGCAAGTGAATTTTTGAAGAAAATTGTGGTGTAAGATTTTGCGTCTCTTTTTTCCTCATATCTCCCTTTCACTTATCGAGACACGTTGAAAAGCGATAAAATGATTCACACAATTATCGGTTCAAATATGTATACAGAAATCTCTATATATAATTATTTTAGTTCTAAAAGTACTAATGTATTTCTTTATCAGATGAATTTATCTTATACACTCGTGATACCATACGTGTCACATCTAAAATTTAACTATCAACATCATTTAAAATGATATTGTTATTTCTATCTATGTACCATATTTAAACCTTCCAAGCTCAATCCTTCAATATCTCTCATCTCTATTTGTCCCACTGAATTAATTAAACTAGATCAAAATCTCCAAATTAGATAGTCTCTTGTTGTAGTATTTTAGAGCGTGTTTGGGAGCAATTTTTGTGGGATTTTAATCAAAATTAAAGCAGTTATAGTCAACCTGTGGGCCCCACCAGTGAGAGGGAAAGTCAAAAATGGTAGCTAATTTGATAGTTAACGGCTAGAATTTTGATTAAAATTTCTCCCAAACAGGGCCTAATAGTAACTTCGCCTATTTCAGTCATTATCGTCCTTTTTTTTAAGGATTTCTTGTGTATCTGCCTTGCCATATTGGAGTGCTACAATTAAAATAATAAATTATCACATTTTTTGGGTTTTTTTTTTTATTATTTTTCCCAGAATTCCTTCCCCGAAAAACGATAAGAGGAAATTAGGTTCATTGCTCTAAAAAGGGAAGAAATTAGATTAACAGACTTGAAACAAATTAAAATATCAAACAGCCGTAATTTATACGTGCCAAAATCGTCCCAATACCCCCCAAAAAGCCCTAAAACCAACCGATTACAAAAAGAAACTCCCAAACCGGCCAAAGTCCACGATTTCGTAATTCTTGGTAGGTGGGGTGAAGGGTTGGAGACTGGTGAGGTGGTTGATGGTGGCGTGTATGGCTGTCAAGAAGTGGATAGGGTGGTTGGGAACTGGTGGAGGTGCCGATGGCTTGGACTAGATGGTGGAAGAGAGGTGGTAAGGGGACAGAATATTGGCAGCCACCATGACTGGCAAAAGAAACAAATTTAGACATTGTGAAACACACATTCAAGATTTTTGCTGATGATGTGCACTGAGGGGTGGGCAAAATTCAAACCAACCCGTCTAAACCGTCTAAACCAACCGAAATCGACCCATTTAGGTCGATTTTTTTCAAATTTTATAGTTGGGTTGGGTTTTGGGCGAAGAAGGGGGGTCGGGTCATGAGCTAATCCAAGAAAACCGATTTAACCCGACCCAAATCAACCCAACCCACTTAGTTTTAAAAAAAATGATGCAATTTCATTCCAAAAGACAAAAGTTACGGGACAAACAAGTTACAAAACACAATTCCACGACCCTAACCTAATAATCCTCCTCCTCCCCTCTCTATATCACTCTCACAGTTCAACTCAACTCGCTGCCGCCTCTCTTATTTTCTCACCAAGAAATGGGAAAGTATTTTTTTTGTAAATTTATTAATTACTAAAATTTGTCGGTGAAAATCTTTTAGAACTTTTGCACTATAAAATCTTGACGAAGTTGTACCAAGTATCTATGNTGACGAAGTTGTACTGAGTATCTATAATTATTCCGAGTTCATAATTTAACTCGTGGTTACACTATTAAAAAGTTGTTGTAGTTATTTTTTATTAATCTTTCTCATTTCTTGTTAAATTTCGATTTGAAAACAAATGCAGTTTTAATTACAGGTACAGGATGCCTCTATTTTCTTTCTTTAACATTTTTTATTTATACATTTCATGTAGTTGATAAGTTTTTATTGTCGGAATAAACTTTTATGATTTTTAATGTCCAAACCGACCAACCCAATCCAACCCAATTTGACCGAAACTTGATTGGATTGGGTTGTTAAAAAATCTACCCGGCCTACGCCCACCCCTAGTGACGATGGGGTGGAGAAGGAAGGTGGTGAAAAGGAGGTGACCCGAATTGGGATGGGTGCATTTGAAAAGATGTTTGGGGTGAGGAAGCAGGGTACTAGTGGAATCAACGGAGATGGGATTTTTGTGATGAAAGTGATGAGGACAGACACTATAATCAAGAACAAATATGTTAATCATACGCGAGCGGAGAGGTGTATTCTCACAAAAGTGGAGCATCCATTCATTGTTCAACTCGAATACTCCTTTCAGGTAAGTTTTTCTCAATTCATTATGGCCCCGTTTGAGGGGAGATTCTCAAAATTTTACAGTAAATCAATTCTCATTTTCAACCAAAAATTTTTAAATAAAATAATATTTTACATCACATCAAAAAAAAATTTTCTTTTTCAATCACATATTTCCTATCATATCACTATTCAAAATCAATTCTTCCCCCTAAAATCTCTCCCAAACAAGCACTATATTGATATGTGACTTGCTGATTGATTTATATTGTAGCTATGAACTAAAACTTTATTTTATTTGAATAGAGAAAAGGACAGATGAGTTGATTCTGATTTGTAAGGTTGGTTTCATATAAAGAGCTAATGTGAGTTCGGAATGTTAGGGTGCGTTTGATTGAGATTATGGAATTTACACGAAAATAAAATAAACTACAGGCAATTCAATTGCATATAACTTATTTGTATGAAAATTATTAATTAAATGTGTTTGATTGATTTGGTTTTTAATCTAAAAAATATTATACTTGTTTTTTTATTGGTGAGTAGATGAGATAGAGAAAGAGAGAGTGAATTACCTAAAAAATAAAATCTATCCTGCTTAAAAAAAATGGTTTTCTTGTTTTTGAGTAAAATATTATCATATGCTCAAAAAATTGAAAATATTTTTTATGGAAAAAAATTGTCAATTAAACACTCCAAAACTAGAAATTTAGGTGAAAATGACATTTTTTTATGAAAAATAAAATCAATCAAACACACTCTTAATGTTCAAGACCATCAGATCAATTCACCAAGGATTTCTCTGTATAAGGAAACTAAAAACCTCATCAAAATGTGTGACTTTGGTGACATACAACTATCAATAATGTATGTTTATATCTATAGTAACATGATAGTGTGAACTAGAGCAATTATTTTAATGAGGAGTTGCTTTGATATGGAAAGTGAGGTTTAAGTAGCTAATTTTGGATTCAAATTAGATTATTCTATTCTTCTTTTCTGGTCAAGTTGAAGTTGCTTATTTAATTGTGTACTGTATCTTGTGTTTCGTGTTATATATTGAAGAGCTGACTATGAGACTTCCATGTAGCTCAATTGATTTATTGACTTGAAGAAGGCTGTAAATCAGAATAGAAGACCAACAATTTCAATTGAAATAATTTCTTTAGTTTCTGAAAGTTTTGAGATTCAGTGATTGTCTGTAGATAAAAATGTCAAATGTATAATGAGAAGGTTCATGGCTAACTAGACTTTGGGGCTTGTATCATATATCATTTTTGTAGTGTTTGTCACTTTTTTTTTTTTAATCCATACCACTTTCTTGAAATTTCTATCGCTTTTTTAGTAATAAAAATCACTTTTTTTTTATTTTTTTAATAAAAAAGTAACACTTAACTTAAAAATGTAACATTGCATCACTTAATTTTAACATCATTTTTAATTCTTTTTTTTTTTTCATTCTCTATCGTTTTCTTGAAATTGATGTCACTTTTTTAGTGACAAACATCACTTTTTAATTAAAAAAAAAAGTGACATCAAAGTGAATGTCACTTTTTATTAAAAAGTGACACTTAATATACACAGTATATTACTATATTTTTATTTTAAAATACTTTTCATATGATTTTTGAAAAGATCATTAATTTTAGGGGTATTTTTGTAAGCTGCCCAAACGATAATGTGATAAGCCCCCAACATATTTCACCTCAAACTCTTACTAGCCCGAAAAATTGGGCCTGGGTTAACTAAGGATATGTCCGATGGACCTGAAGTCAGGCATTATTTATGTTGAGATATTTAGCTTCAATTTGGGGCCCCATTAAAATGAGATTTTAGAAATTTTGAAATAGGGTTGTTTTGAAGAATGTGTGGATAAAAAATAAGAAAAATTTTGAATTTACGTGTAACATTATTTTTATGAGAGAATGTGTGGTTGAAAATAAGTTTGAAAAATGGAGCCCAGTGGCTTATACAAATACTCTTAAAATTATGGACTTTT